GCTCTCGCAGGCTTCAAAAAAAGCGCCGGACCCACCCACTGCTGGCTCCGTCGCTTTGGAGTCCCTGTCTGGGAGCTAATTTGCCTTTTTAATTAAGGCTTTACAAAGCATAGGACCGCCATAGGATGCTTCCAAACAGAAACAGCTGACAATGAAGTTTAAATTGAAGAAAACTCGATATCTTGTTTTAACTGAGAGGTTCAAAGACAGGCTAGCAGTAGGTGGTGGGTGATGCTCCTGGTTTTGTTTTGCTTGTTTCCTTCTCTGCGGCGCTCATAGCTGGAGAAACTTCTTAGGGTCGCTGTGGAAGTTTCTGGCGTCAGTAAATTGTGGGAGAATTTGAATTTTGGGTGGAAACTGTATGAGCAGAACTGGAGATTCAATTTGAAAGGTAGAACTTGTGTTGTTTGTAATGGTAAATATCTGAAAATATTTACGTAAAATGAAGTCACTACGTTTGCAAAAAAACATTATTTAAAGAACATTCCCCCTTCCCTCAGGGGAAAGGTCTGTATGTCTGTATACAAAGCCTTGATTTCAAGTTTCTAAGTTCCTTTTTTCTTTTAATATGACTCGTCTTGATGTTATTCAGTCTTGAATTTCAGCATATCAGTTATTAAAATTTATTTTGGAGACTTTGATTTTCTTGGAGAGCTTTTCATCTTAAAACATCAACAAGCTTGAAGAAATTTGAGACTGACTTGATAAAAGTGTAATGAGATCATCAAGCTATTTTTTCCATCCGGATGAATAGGTTGGTGGATGGCTTCTGTAATTGTGCATGATTCATCCCTCTTGCAAAAGAGAAACTCCTTCTGCTCTGGTACTCTTAGTGTGGCAATTTCACTTTGCTTTTTACTAATTAAATTGCGTATTTTTTAGGGAAGGGGAGATGCTGTTGGGAGATTCGTATTTTTTTTTGAGAGTCGGGTAATAAAATTGGTAATAGTGTTTTCTTAATCTTCTACATTAAGTGCTTTTTAACACTTCTGTTGTCTATTTTAAGCCTAGGGCTAGGAAATGTTGCAGGTGTCTTATTTGTGTATTAAATCAGTGATAGTGTTTGTGGAAATAAGTCCAATTGCAGCAGTGCTCAGTGAGTGGAAGGGACAGCTCTGTGCTAAAGAAATGCAGTCTTCAGAAGGAAAAACTGCTGTGCAATAATTTGATGGTTAGAGCATGGGAAGGAAGGAGACTTGTGGAAGGAGGACTCTTACCGTGAACAGTAGGATGTTAGTGGTAGGTATGTGGAGTAGCAGGTGAGGAGGAACGAGGAGAGTTTGAAGCAGTTGAAGACAATTTGTGTTGTCATGTCAAAAAGAAGGGAGGGAAGGAAAACATCTGAGGCACTCCATAGGAGATGGAGAATTTTCTATGGTTTCAAACTAAGGATTCGGTGACTAAACTGTAAATGTGAATCTAGTGGCCCTAATCCCTTAATACCTCTTTGGGAAAGGGTTTGGTAGTATTACTGACTTGCAGAGCAGCATACGTAAAGCCTGTCGGCATCGTAGTTCATGTAAAATTATGTGCATGGTGACACTTGTCAAACCTGTTTCTCTTCCGGGTATTTGCCAGATATTTTAAAAAATGTATGTAGAGATAGCACTGTGAACATGTTATTGACAAAGGTCGGTGTCACCAATGGCTCACAGATAACCTATGCCCAAAAGATCCTCTAACGCTTGTGCTGCAGAGGTTCTCAAACTATGGCCTGAAGGAAAATGGCACACAAAAAGGCCGTGTGAGCATTTCCGCCTCTCTGTCCACAATTGAGAGCTACCATTATGCCTAACAGCAGTGGCAGTGCTAGGGAAGCAAACTAGATTTGGGAACCTTGTGCCAAGTTTACAAACTTCTCGATTGGCTATTTGACATAGCTTTCACATTGTTTTGCATTAAAGATACTATCTGTCTCTATAGAAATACTTGTGAAGAAAGTGTCTGCTCAGATCTACTGCAGTACCTGTCATGCAAAAACTTACCTGTAACTGCAAAGTGACAATTGTATAAAATTCTCAGTGTTAGATTGCGTGCTTGAAAAATAAAAATATTGCTGCTGTTTTACTGAGGTGAGTTGCTGCAGTAGTGATTATTTTGAGAATTTATTCAAGAGTCCAAGGGGTAATTGTGCTTTTTCTGTAGCTCGCCCCTTTGCGCTAGTAATTTGGCAGCGACAGAGCTAATTTGTCCATCTGTTCTAGCTTCATTTTGGCGGCATTTCAAATACGGATTTCCTTATCTTTAAGGATTATTTTTTGAAATCATAGGGCCTATAGTTCTGGATTCTGAAGTCCTTGGCTTTCTTAAATGGTGAAGAGGTTACCATACTACAGTGATGTTTGTGCTAGTGAGTAGTGTGTATCCTATATTATATTAATTTGTTCTGGCACCCTCAGACAATTTGGAAACAAATTTGGCTTGAGATTAGGTTTATCTATATTATTATATTTTTTTATCTTTCAATTTTTGGCCAAAGGTAACTTAATAAACAATAATAATCACTTACATTTCTGCCTAAGTGGATCAGTGCTTTGTTTTAATAAATCTTACTTGTTTCATTCCAGAGTTAAAAAGGTTTGAGCCCTAGTTGGGATTGTGCATTAGTTTGCTGTTGAGGTTGCTATGAACCGATCACTTTTTCATTCACTGGGTAAAAACTTGTAAATTGACTGGAGAGAAATTCTGCCATCCTAAGGTTCAAAGTCAATTGATTCCAGCCACCTGCTGATGGAAAGTTGCTACACTCTTGTTTCAGGGACTTAGACCCAGATCATCAAATTAGTGCTATTCATGGGTTCCAGGTTTGTGTAGGGTGCGGTGAGCTACTTTTGCACCTTTGGAATTGCTTTAGGGCCATTTGATATGCTGGTGACCGCACCGTGCGTTGTGCGCAGGGAAGACCTACCAATGTAGTGCTTTCCTAGAGCAAATGAAATCTCTTTGAAACTGATTATTTGATATCGTACAAAGGAAAAGCAATAGTGCTATCGTGTTGATGAGAGTGTGAAAAGGAAGTAGATTCACTGGAGATGAACTTCCTCATGAATAGTAGGATATTAATGCTGGATGCCTGGAGTGACAGCTGAAAAGGAACATTAAGAGATATGCTTATGAGCAGCAGAGGAAATAATTGGAAATCAGTTTCTTAAACAATCCTGCTTAATAATAAGTTTTTAAAATTGGTTTTCTGCTGGAGGATTTTGGTGGCTTTTTTAGCAGTTATTTTGTCCCTCTACTTTTGAGGACTCCCCCCTGGTTAAATATTTCCAGAGTAAAAATAAGTTTGGCCACATCAAGGCTGATCAACTGACTTAGAAGATGGCCTATGAAACAGAAGACTGGATTTTAAAATAACATATAGGTAGATAACTAGGCAATGGCTTTATGCAATATTTTGTTTCCTTTAGATATTGGAATAAATTTGTGAATCTTGGCCTATGCTGTTAGATTGCTCCTAAGTGCTTAATGCTTCACTTCTAGCTGTGAATTCTTGTAGAAGATTGATAGCTCTGTCAACATTTGTCCACAGTAGAAGATGGGTGGATTAATTTCAAGATGGAGGGTAAGTAAAATCGTGTAACAATATAATAATCTCTAGTCTAGAAGATGGGAGTACGCAGGACATGTTTCCTAATGCCTGTTGGTTGACTGTTAATCCTGGTTGAATGTTAGCGCTAAACTTTTCCCATTAATGTCACTTAAAAGTCCAGTAGTGGGACATAGTGACCAAAAACATTCTCTGAGAAATCCCTAAACTGTGAAACTGTGTGGCTGTCCTTTATTTCCTTTGCAATACCAGGCCTGGCACTGGTTTGGTTAACTTATAAAAATAGTTTTAACTCTTTCTGTTGGGATAGATACAGTAGCATCTGTGACTTGAAAGACTGGTGGCTATTTTAGGTCAAAGTGGATACATTGAGAATATCACTCTGTCTGTCTTAACAAATATTTTGGTAGCTACTTATACCTGTACAAGTCTTTCTTCCTAACTGTTTTTATTGTCTTGTCTATTATTGAATGGTGTACTGACTTTATGAGGAAGAGGCATGAGGTTTTTGACTACTCTCCTGGCAGGTGTGAGTTGTTGGAGTATAGGTTTGTCTCTGCGTATTATCAACTGATTTCAGAGCGTCCCATATGAAACTCCTTTAAAGGCAAAAGCTTAGGTGAAATGTCAGACTTGTGTAATAGAAAGAAACTCGCTTTCATGGTGATGCAGTGTGGGCTATGGTGTTTGAATTCGTGGCCTGAAGGGTGGGGGAAGATAGTGGCTTTATGCTTCTCAGAAATTAGGAAAGATTCCTAGAAGGTGGATTCCAAGTTGCTCCTAAGGGGAATTTTATTGGAGATGATAATGCTTATTTGCAGTTGCTTATAATTTATTTAGAGCATGTGTCTTTGTGTGGAATGAATAGTAATAAAAAACTTAAGATCTCAGGTTGGGGCTTCCTCTATATATTCTCTTTGTTTTGCCTATTCCCTCCACTCATCAATTCTCTCCTTGTTTACATCCCACCCACACATCCATTGCTGATGTACATGCATTGTAGGTTTTTATCTTTTGTGGCGTAGGAGAGGAGCCTTCTGTTAATAGTAATACCAACTGTAAATTAGTGATTCATTACAGTCTCTTCTATTTGTCACTATTAAAGTAGGAGAACTTCTTACCTTTATGTAAAATAGATAATAAATTAATCTATTATGAATATGTCTTTTTTTAGAAAACTGTTAATGTACAGTAATCCTCAAAATATGGCTTTTTTTAGTGAGATTAACATCTTTGTTCTTTCCCTTGTAAGCAGGCAAAGCCTTCCACTGTAGAAGTATTAGAAAAAATTGATAAGGTATGTATTTGCTTTTTTGTGTGGTGTTTGATATTTTTTTTTTTTTTTTGTTTAGAAATATGCATCCTTTTTGCTGGCTGTGTATTTCTTTTACATTAGGTAAAATACTGTCATGGAATTTTTAAATTATTTTGATAATTATTATTAGTTATATAGTTAGATGTACTAGAGATTCCAACTTTCAGATGGACTGCTACCTTTTTTCTCCTCACTATTAGTAATTTAAAAAAAAAGCGTATGGTATAATAGTGAGAAACTACAGCTCAAATATTTATTTAGAGAGCCCGAAATGCGAATGAATGTGAAGTTGGCTTGATTACACAATTTAATTATAACTGATGGTTAAACTCCCATATAACGGCAAATGTCACTAATGCAAAGTTCCATTCATCAGGCTCGTTAGATGAGCTTCAGCGTCTAGTTTTAAGTGTAAGAGTTGTAACTGTAGTGGTAGTAAGTAAGGTCAGGGGCAGAATAACTGAACAGGTGGTTCAGTAATCAATTGTGATTTTTGTCTAGAATTTGTGACATACGTCTGTACTCTGTGGGGACATTAACTGTTTTGAAATATGCTGTTATTTTTTGTTTTCCTTTTAATGAAAGTATGAGTACTCCTGTTGTCACTTGAAATGCAGTCAAAATGGTAACACAGGAGAGCATTGCTAGATCACTTATTAATATGCCAAAAGCATAATTCAGATGTTCAGGATTTCACTCTTAATGTGAGGAAAATACTGAAATGAAAAGATGAGAAATGATGGAGAGGTTTTAGCAATTTCCCATGTTAGTAGAAAAGTATTAGAAACATTTGAAATTCCACAGGTGCCTGATGAAAGTTTTAGGATGTGAAGTATGGTTGGTAGTGATTTATGTGATCATAAAGACTGCCATTCATAAGATATTAGCGTTTACCACTTGTCCCAAATATACTAACGCATTACAAATAGGAGAAAGTGCTGATTTGTAATATTTCTTCCCAATAGCAATGTGTTACTGCTAATACAGTGCAAGTGGCCCGTATCATAACCTTGATAGCGTGATGTATTTATGCTATGAAAGTTATCTTTGGGCAAATATTGTCATTTATCAAAAAGCTGCTTGACTTTTCTAATCAAGTATCGAATTGATATGGTTAATTTTAGCAAACACTTAAAGGCAGCTTAGTAAAAGCACCAACTAATTTCACTAATAAGGTTGAACCCTATTTATTTACAGGAAATACAGACATTAGAAGAATTTAGAGAAAAAAATCAGAGGCTACAGAAACTATGGGTTGGAAGGCTGCTTTTCTACTCTTCAATTCTTTACCTTATCACCTGCATAATTGTATATTTGTGGTGTCTTCCTGATGAATGGACAGCAAGGGTGATTATGACACTTCCATTTTTTGCATTTCCATTGATGTAAGTAAATATGCTTTTTTTTTTTTTTTCCCTGACTGCTGTCTCTTCGATAAAAGGAGATGGAAAATATATCTCAGCAGGGGTTTGGGTTTTCTTTTGACAATCCTTGAGTTGTCATAACTTGCTGAATTTTTTTCTTTTAAAATAAACCCAAATAGTTAGGCAGACACTTTCTTTGAGAGAAATGTCTCTCATGGGTCTGGGTTTAGTGTAGAACTAAGTCTTACCATCAAAAGATGTTAGCATCTAAAGTTACTTTGCTTATCAAAATTATACTAGGGCTAGAGAGAGACCTGTATCTGAACAGCTGCAAGGTAATGTAATATAAGCAGAAGAGCATTATCTTGGGTTTTAATTCCACTGCTATTTGGAAAAGTAACACTGCTATATGAAAGTGACCTAAGGTATGTTGCCTGTGTGTAAAATGCAGCGTATAAAGTTGGGGAAAAAATACAAGAATGGATGGAGAAACTTATTTTTACATATTAGGTGACTGTTAACACAGAAGTGACTTGAAAGGTCATCAGCCTAAATATGTTGAGGACTAGTTTTACATAATTAGCTGTTTTTCTGGAAAACCATTGACTCTTTTCTTCAACCAGAAAATATCCTAACATCATTGGATGTGAACAGGAGAAAGTATTGTCTGCTTTTTTGTTGCACTGAGCTGATTGGCTACTCATCCTCATGAGTGGCTTTTTCTCTTCTAAGAAAACTACTTTTCTAAAAATAACAAAATCGGCTCCCACCTCACTAAACCACTGCTTCCCTGCCTCCCCTTCCCCCAGACCATCAAGGAGGAGAAGCAGCCTACTGAGCATCTTTCCTACCGATGGGGAGGACAGTGCATTTACTAATTTGCTGAAATGAACATTGTAAATATTGTCCATATTTGAACAGCATCTTTGTATGAAAACATGACTTGTCAGTGCCCTAGCTGTAGACTTGAAAGGCGAAGTCAAATGTAAATATTTAAGGCTTTGCAAGTTTGATCAGTGTGGGTCAGCATAACATAACATGCAAAAAAACCCAAAACTTGAAGATGCTTTTTGTATGTCATACTGTGTTATGCATAATGTACTAATGTACTGCTGTTATGGAATCCTGTGGAGAAGATACATGGGCAGCAATGTCTTGACTGGAAAGGATTAATATTGAAATTAAAGCTCAAATTAATCTTTGGCAGCAATATGAATTGATTTTGTTCTTAAGGACAAGGATTTGAAAGTCTTTGTTGATAGTATGTGAGGCTTGCTCATGCTAACAGAAGGCTTGTAGAAGAGGAAGTATTACTAGCCTCCCTTCACTTAGGTGTGTTAGGATTAGTGTAGAAATGAAAACATTTGTTACTGAAGGTGATGGCTTCTAGTTTTGTGGTGTGAATTTTCACATTGGATTTTTATTCTCTAGTTTGTCCTCCAATTGTTGTTTCTTTTTTTTTTTTTGAATGGTAGGTTTCTATAAAATTCTGAATTAGATACTGGCTTAACATTTAGAATTACTGTTGTTCTCTTATGACTTGAGACTGTTTATCCGATTTTTCTCTTAAGCTATTCCCCTTCAGCTTTTTTTGGCAGATATGAATGGCAAGCAACTGCCAACTTGTCTTTGTTCTCGGTCAAGAAGTGGCTCCATGCTGAACGCCTGGTGCCACCCAGTAATAGCTCTAGAGATTTTTCAGCCCTAATCAAACTGGAATATGTCTGCCTTTTCTAGCTTGCAGTCAGTCACCAACTTGTTTCTGCCTTAGGTCATTCCCTCAGGGTCTCAGCAAGTTACTGATGCTGGTAGAGCATTTTAAATGTATATTGAAATATCTGAAAAGTTGAAGAAATATATTAGCTTGTTAGAAGGATGCTCTTCTTGAATGATTTTCATTTGAATTACATTCTGTTCCATCTTGCATGTTCTGATTTTTCAGAGAAATATGTTTTTATTTTGTAAAATTGGTCTGAAATGGTCTGCTATTAAACTTTCACCTCAAAGTTCTTAAAGAGGAAATGTTTTTTATTTCATGAAGTCCTACCATGTATCTACTAGCTTAGAATACAACTTTAGGTAGAAGACTCTTTATTAAGTGCACAGTAAAAAAGAAATAATGGTTTTGCCTGTGTAGCATAGTCTTTAAGGTGATTCAAACCCTGTAAAACATTTATTTCTTTTGATACTTTATGAAGAGACACATCTTGCGTTGTGTAAGCAGGCAAAGCCATCTGTATTCTTAGAGTAGTTATTACAGCGCACCTTTGAACATGGAACAGTTAAACTTCTTTCTCTGTTTCTCTGACCTTGAATAGGTTACTCTCGCATTCCAGTTGTCTTGTCTAACTTACCTAACTCAGGTTGTGTTGTTGATACTTGGAAGCATTTTGAACTGGGCAGCCATTATATAAATGCAAAAGATGTTATAAATTAAGTCGAAACTCTATTTGAAATCTTATAGCCTTTTGTCTGCTTTCTTATGCTAGCTGTTATTCAGAGAACCTTTCTAGCCTTTAAGAATTTTTTTTTCTTAAATGAAACATTGCTACTTTAGGCTTTATTATGTAGTGCTTGGGACTAGGAGGGTTTTGGATAAGATGCTTGGAAGGGCTTGAAGTATGAGATTTGCCACTTGGCTTAGGCTGAATAACTTGCCAGGAAAAGTGTCAGCTTAATAATTGTAAGCAATTCTAAGCTTTAAAACAAATGAAGTCCTGATGGTTGCAGAGAGACCTTTCAAATGTAAAATGATCATAGATCAGTTTAACTTTATCTTGAGCACAGATAAACTGCCTCATTGTTTGAGCTAAGTCAGCTGAAACCCTACAGAAACAGAGTGGATTCAGAGCTCTGTAAAATTACCAGGAGTCAGGTCAGTTAACTCTGCTTGGGAGAGCATTTGTACAATAGCTGTGTCTCATGGTTTTCAGTGGTATTGAATTCTTCCCACAGATCTCCTGGGTCTTAATTTTGGGCCTTAGCTGGTAAGCTTGGTTTTCTGGATAACATGTATCATAAATCTATCAAATAAGAAGTGATGACCAAGTAATTTTCAGCTAGCTGCACATACCTTGATTTTAAAAAAGTTCCCACTGAACATTTTAGCAAGTGATGATGTTACTTGCTGCTGCTTCCTTAGTATAGTAATATTACCTATAGTAACACTTGGTTAAATTTTAATAGACAAGAGGATTTTATTTAGATCAATGTTGATGTCTTGTTGACAAGATACAGAAAACTAAAATTAAATTAGTATAAATATTGTTTGAAGATTTCCATTCTTTGTATTTGCAAAGTTAAATCTCATCTGGTAAGTCTTCTGTTTGCTAGATGACTTCAGAAATCGTTACTTTAATATATTTTAACTAATATAATTCTTCTTTCTGTTTTAAAGAATCTGGTTTATAAGAACACTGCTCATTTTTTTCTTCTCCAAAAGGACAGAAAGGAATAGTAAGTATTTTTTCGGTCTTTTCTTAGAATATGGAACTAGTTGGGAATGATGCTTGCTATGAAAACGTAAATATTTTGGATAATTTGGCTTCCAGGAAGAGAAGAGTAGCCTTTTGGTTGATGATGAAATGGGTAGCATTAGCTAAACTGTTGTTTCTACCATACAATTCTTGAAAGAACAGGAAGGAAACTGCTTAATTTTTCACTTCACTTACAAAATTGTGGTAACTTTCTCCTGTCTTTGCATGCTTCAAAGTGTAATGGAATAAAATGTAGTGTAGAAGTAGGAGTGAGGGAAAGGAAATATAAACAATAGTAGTAGTTCCCTTAATACTTGCATCTTGCAATTATTCCAGCAGTCTTAATCTGTTATCTTTTTGTATGAGAGATTTATAGCAGAAGTGTTTAATTTATTTGTCAAGATAGCTTTTCTCTCCCAAGTCCTCCAAAGCATGCTTATGTTTTCCTGAGTGGAAAAGGGATAAGCAGGTGTTTTTGTGCTGTTTTGAGAGCTAAAAAAAACTGGGAGTCATGTAACAAAAAAAAGTAATGTGGGTGTTCAAATATATATAAAAAGTTGTTGAAGAACATCCAGATTCATTCTAATGCAAAATTTAAAAACTGCATCTGTGGCACTTGTCTGCAGTAGTTAGAATTCATTTGAGACTTTCTTTGAAAGCAGTCCAGCCTGTAACAATATCTCATGGTGATGTGAGCAATAATACAGGAAAACCTCAATGCTGCACTATGTTTTATGACTTGCAGAACAACATGATGTATTTAATTTGTGACAGCTTACGAGTTAAACATCGCTTTTGGAATTTTTCTTAAACTTAATGTTTGCATTTGATATGCAAGCATAGGACATACATTTTTATGTAGAAATAAAATTGTCCATATATTCTGTGGTGCTGTGTGATTCATTTCTAAGGCAAATATATATTTGCATTTCATGGCTGGATAAGAAAAAAATGTATGTATGCTTTTCTAGTTTGCTTAAATGTCTTCATTGCTGTTTTTGGCATACAAGCAAGTCTAGCGCTTTTGTTGAACCTGTGTATAAAGGGTTTTAGTAGATGTTAGAACGTGCCAAAAGGAATTATTTCTGCATTGTTCCAGAGATTGGGTAAAAATGAAATGTTTTCCCTCAAAGATAAAGTCCTGTATTTGGAAAAGAGAAATCAAATGCGCTGTGCAAGAGTTACAGCAGTAGAGCAGGAAAAAATGTAGCTGAGGGAGCAAACTGGCAACTGAGTGGCTCAAAGCTAGCCTTTTATTCTGGAATAAGTTAATATAACACACTGAGTCACTGGAGATGATTATTTAATACTATAAAGCTTTATGCTGGATAACCAGCATACACCAGTTTTGGGAACCATGCTCTGAATGAGGAAAATTCCTAGTGAAACACTAGGAAAGGTGCTGTAGAGAGGTTATGGAAACTCAGTTTTTAAGAGCAGTCAGGCAAACAACTGTTGAGGAAGATTTAGGCTGATCTTTCCCAAAGTGTGGGGAAAATAAATGAGGTATCTTGCAGGTATTGACTTCTCTAGTATGATTCTTTTTTTTTTTCTGTAGGTTTAATTACAATGAGAGATATTGGCTTCTTGAGAGAACTTTGCAGTAATTGCCATTTGGCCAGGTTTGAAAGGGCAGGTGTTTCATGAGGTTCTTTTTTGAACACAGGAGATAAAGTGATCAGAAACAAATGCCCATGCTTTAAACTGATTGTGTTGCTTTGTGGAAGGCTATGCTTGAAGATGTTCTAGGCGTTTCTGTACCACAAGCAGCTTCTGTTTCTTGAGTAACTGTTAACAGCTGACCATGTTGTGCTATTTGTTTGGCTGCATGATACCATACTGCACTGCAGTGCACTTCAAGGTGTTAATCTGTGTGGGGCTGCAGGAGGGGCAGCGTTTTAATATAAATGTAAAAGTTGGTGGAGGGAAGTACGTTATTAAATTGAAGATGCACGATTCCTGGAATTGTCTGTCTTCTGTGGTCCAGTCCAGTGCTAAATATGGTCTTGTTCCATGTCCTATTTGTCTTAACTAATAAGGGAATGTTGTAGTTACTCTTTCATTGCACAAACTTTCAAATATGTGCATACCCAGTTTTAGTATTTTATACATTTAATAAAGTGGTTTATTCTATCAAAATGGGTTTCTGCCTTCTGGAAAAGCTCAAGTAATTGTGTTCCCTTATTTTCAAGTAACAGTAGTATTCCTGAAGTAACTTTGAAAAGTGTGTGTAGCATACTTTATATATATATAAAGATACAAAAAAAAGTATTTAGTTTGGTGGGTTTTGGTTTTGTTTCTTGTAGTACTGTGCAGCTTTTTCTTTTTTTGAAAACTGAAAAATGGGTAAAAATAGCTATATCTTACAGGAAGTGAACTGCTGGTGTCCAGTAGAGCTGAGAAGGGGAAACAGTTGTGAAGTTTTTTGTTAAACTCTTCTTGCTATGAAGGAGGTAGTAGAAAATGGATTTATCAAGAGTATATCTTCTATATGAGGCAATGGTTTATTACAGTGAGTTTTCCATGAGTGCCAAGCTGCAAGCATTGATTTAAAGGAAAATCCCACATGCGTTTAACCTTTCTTCTTTCCCTTCCTTTTAGGGAGGTTAGGTGCTCTGCCTACCAGTTGTAACAGAGTCTCTTAATATTTATTAGTAAAATGATGTTCTGGTAGCTTTTCTTAGAAAACTAGGGGGTGTTGCTGTAGTCTGAAAGTAGTGAAAGGGTGAAATAGGTTGAGATTTGAAGCTCAGAATTGACCTGGCATTTGAAACTAGCATGTGTTAAGAGGCTTACGTGAAATACTGAAGCCAGTAAATCTGGTACTCAAATAGATATATTAATACTTAGACCGCAAGCTTTTTTTCTGTAGTTTGACTCATGAGATTAAGTGTATTTGGTCCATTGTTGTACCAGTTTTAATGTAGGTCAAAGCAGGGCACTGGCTAGAATTGGTTTGCTTAATGAGGAAATGGTACATAAAACTTTTTAGTAGTTGTAACTGTAAAGTGATAACAGTGGGCTATAATTTATAAGCAGTTTCAGGATTTAAAATAATTTATTTTCACAGAAAAACTTTAGTTATTTTACACAAAGTTTACTAATGTTGTAGGGTTGGTAGTGGTCAGTGCATAATTTTTCCTGATCTCACAGGGCAAAGTCAACGTTTAGAGTGTGCTGAAATTATCTCTTACTTGTATTTGAAAATTAACGTATGATGTCCTTCTTTTAGATGATGCGCTGGAAGATTTAAAATCTCAAAAGAAAAAAATAGTAAGTAAAACTTCAAGAAAAGCTAGTTGTTATGGTACACTAAAGTGTTTTTGCATCTCTACAAGTTGAGTTTGATTGTAATATATAGACGAAGAGTGGAGGGGGGTGGGTGGGAGGTGAAACTACTAGTATTCCTCTGTTTTCATACATTTCTACACAAGGTTTTCCTTACCTCAAAATTAAAAGGACTGCTTGCATATGAGAATAAATTGTCTCCTTGTAGTTTAACTTAAACTTACTGTTTTAGTGCTGGTAGATCTGCGTAAAGTGTTTCCGTTTTGTCAGAAAACGAAAATGTATGCTTTAACCTACTCATTGCTGACTGCTTCTTTTACTTTAGGATTATGAAAAGTGTTAGATGTTGCACTGATTTAAGAATGTAGAATGCAACTATATCTTTAATAGTTACCCTCTCACTTAATGCCTTGTTCATAAATAGCAAAAAGGGCTCAATCTTGTCTGGATACACTTTTTCATCAAGTAACAGATTGTATCTCAAGTGCATCACCACTTATTTCCCATCCTCCTCCATCTTCTTTTTGTACTACTTATTTCTTCCTTTACATTCCTTCCTCTAAAAAATTTATCTTGTTTATGTATCAATCCTATCGGTTTTCTTGAGGTCATCTATTTTGTGAGCTGTGTGGATGAATTAACAGTATAAAACTGGTGTATGCCAGGTATTTGCTTCAACTGGATCAACACTTAATCTCAGTAAGACAAATTTAGGACAGAAAAGATTCCAAGTCTTGGATAACTTTCACTTTTTGCTACGTTTGTAACACTGAAAGCTGTTTCCTTTCTACTCAGTCATTCCATAAGGAAGTTCTCTGTTTACTTATGTTGTTGGCTTCATCAGCTGCCTTGCAATGCAAAACTTAAACACCACCAAAACACAACCCTCCTCCCCAACCAACCAAAAACCAAACAGCCCCTCCTCCCCCAAAAAACTCCAAAAGTTGCATTATGAGGCTTTATTGTTAATGAGTTTCCCAAAGTGTTCACCTCATGCCTTCTGGATTTTGCCATGGTAGCTAAATTAATAGAAAACCCACAACAAAGCTACCAAAAAGGAGTCGGGTAAGAGTCTGGTATTATATGACCTTTACAGGGGAACCAGGTTTCACTGATCTTCCCCTCTGTTTTTTATCACTTCTAAAATGTAGACGTAAAAATGATAACTCGTAACCTAATTATGTCATTGTCCTTTGGTAAAGAGGATTTGCTAATATTTATATCTGCTAATCTTTATATTAAGGAATCTATTAAATGGAAGTGTCCTTTGGTTGGAGAGGTGATAAAAAGGGGTTGGAGAGGCTTACGTTTCCTGAGAACAAAATAAATGAGCATGACAACTATGTTTCTAATTTTATTTTATGAAAACTGCTCAACTGAAGTTAGGTGAACTCTCCAATTTACGTAGTTATTGGGTAGCTTTGGAGGGAAAGTTTTTGGAACAGAAAAAGCACAGTGGAGAACAAAACAGCTTTTGGAGTCTTAAATGTAAAGCCTTCATTTCAGTTTAAGTTTATTTTTATGTAATCATGAAAATATTTGTATTTATTCTAGAAGAACAAGTAATGCTGAATTTTTGTGTGTGAGAAGCACTTCTTTCGAGAAAAGGCATTGAATAAAAGATTAGTCAGGAAAAACCTGGTTTATAAAGGGGAGGTTTTCACTTTGGGAATTGATGCTGTTGAAACAAGATGTAAATGTGTATTTTGCATATGCAAAAAATCAAAACAACATATTGTAGAAGAGCAGGCAGTAGTTAAAAATTAAACAACTGCATGAATACTTTGAACAATATATAAATTGTAGTGTAACTGTGGAGAGTTTAAACCTGGAAATATAAATTGCCATTAGTATATATGCATGTCAAGCTTTAATCATTAAAGACAAACTTCTAAATAGGATTAGTAAAACAGAGTTCTGGGAAGTCCGATAACCTATAACTCAGCTATTTTTCAATCTGAGGGGAATAAAAAGTCCATGATTACCTCCTGATTTTGTGGGTGCCTGGTTCCTAGCAAGGAACCAGAAACAGAAGACTTATTGCAACCTCTTGAATCAGCATGGTTGTGCTGGTATTTTTAACTCAGAAGATTGACTCTGGAGTTTCATCATAATTTAAAGGTATTCAATTAAGCATTAAAATGAGATCATCATACATGAAACCTAGCATGTTGAAATGAGCTGGAAGTGCATGCAGGTAATGACACAGAATATAATTTGTATTTTAGATAAAAAGACTCAAAGTTGTGTTCTGTAATGATTTGGTTTTAATAATATTCAGATTTGGTTTTGTTTTGTATTAACTTCCTTACGACTATCTGTAGTTATGAATCACTGTAGCAACACCTACTTTTTAGTAAAACAAAACAAAAACCTTTACCAAGTAAAATAATGGGAATGGGGGAGGGAGAGGATTTTTCTTCCCTGTTGGATTCTGATTTGCTGCTGAATTTGCAAGTAGGATTAGTTACTAAGGTATTTACATTGTGATCCTCAAAGTATCTGGGATAAGTAAATTATGTATTTCCTGTTTATTTGTAAAGTAAATTGTGGTCTAGGCACTTTCAGCCTGCCACAACAGCTATGGTTTTTCACTTCATTGCAGCTCAGCTACCTGATTGCTGGAAAAAATCTTATATTGAAGACAATTGTCCTTTTGAAAAATGTTACAGTACTTGTGTTTTACAGGCATGTGGTCCACCTTTTCCCTAGTGACATTACTTACATGCTGACGGGTACCTATAACAGAGTTAAGCTCCTCATCTACTAGATATAATGCCCTGGTGGCTGTGCAATGAGCTGCTCAACAGAACTTCAGTTCTGTTCAAAAGGCTTCAGTCTTTGGTGGCATAATCACATGGATATTCATGTGGGTAAAACACCTGACAACACAAATATAGATACTTCATCTGGAAATGCCCATTAATATTGTCTGTCCTGTACTTTGACTCAAAATTTGTGTAATACTTTTTTTCCCACAGAACTGACTCTCTACAATGCTTTTTTCCTAGTGAATGCTTTAAAACACATTGAGTGTTTCTTTATGGATTGGGGGGTGGGGATTAAGTTCATTAGCTATAATTAAGGCACTACTTCAAAATACAACTTTTTTTTTTCCCCTCCGTGATCATAAGGGATACTCTGGTTGTGTTCGTGATTGTGTAGCTGTAATTTTGGCCTTAAGAGTTCTCAGTTAATGAGGATGTCAGCCCTTAAGCCTGAATGTGTATAGATGAGTAAGTTCAGAGGGTTAAGCATATTAAAGCAAGGGCACAGGACATATATTAAGCTGCTACAAGTGGGAATTAGTAGAGACTTTACCTGGAGCAGCAGTCTTAAAGACAGGATAATTCTTAGCCTGAGGACAGAGTTGTGAAGATAGCGTTGTAATTACTTTGCTAATGTTAAAATTAAACTTTGCTGAAGTTTGCTCAGCTATTCTGTTATAGCAGGCTGAGTATAATATTAGACTTGGGCAGACTTCCTAGCCATTTCAGGTAAGAATCTAGAAAGTGGTATCTGTTAATTTTCCAAGAAAAAAAGTAGTCTGGTTTCAAGGCTGCCTTGAAATTATGTTAATAATGAAAAAAAAATGCAGCATATGAATGTTGTTTATTAAAATAACTACTGTTTAATGAACTTTATACCTTCAGCCTTCCAGGCATAGAACACTGTAGATATTTTGATAACCTTCAGTACGTGACAAAGGAGTTGATTGTTGTGTAAGCCCAGTCATGTCTACCCAATATATGCTACAGTACTGCAAGCGTGCACTTGGAAGCTCAAAATATGGTTAAAAATCATATTTACTGATGAACGATCAAATTAGGTATTTCTTTCATGCAGTGCTCACACAAAACAGTTACTTTGGTTGTTTTAGTGTTTGCTTGGATCTATCCAGAGTGCACTTGATTATTGTGGTTTAAATGATTTATTTCCTGTTTTAAGGAGACTTTTGCTATGTGTACTGGCATATCTTACATGGTAGACTGAAATGAATCTTGTGGCTTTGTGTGAACATAAAGAAATACCTCTCCGTAGTTGGGCTTGACATACCAAGTAATTCAATTTAAGAACTCACGTGGTAGTACAGCGTATAAGTAGCTTGCACCGTGCCAATACTTCAGACTTCCAGTTGCTAAATCGCATTTACAAGAAGCTTAAAATACATTACTCATATTACTTTTCAATATAGGCAACTGATGTCGTTGCCACAGGAATTCTGTTTGGTTGCCAGTTGGAAAGGAGGCCATCCATGCAATTATTCATAGGAGAGAATGTGGTACATGACCATGCTTCTTTATTGAGATGTGGTTAATTCCACGAAACAGGTTTGAAAAATCCATGATTAGGCTGGTATTATCTTTCATAGAGACTTCACTTGTGATCCTGGTTACTCAGCATTTAAGCTTGATAATAATAGACTCTGAATTAGGCCTTGACAGAAAGTAGAAAATGTTTTTGTGGGAAAAGTTGTGGATCTCAGAGAGTGTATTATGGAAAAAGAGGGGGAGGTGTCAAGCAATTTGCTGTGTTGCCGAGCCAGTGCTCAGCACTAGGTTAACCTTTCCAAGGTTGTGCTTCAGGATCACGAATAATCCAGAAGTCAGTATGTTGATTTGCATTTATAAATGAGCTTGCTGTGGTAGTGCACAAGCCACTTTCTTCTGCTATGCAAATGTAGAGATAGTATTTAAATTTTACACAGGCTCTTATTTGTTTTAGTAATTATACTAATTTGCTCAAAGAGTAAGTAAACTTTGACCTGTTTGATTCCTTATTTGGTATTGTCAGCCAAATTTCAATTGACTTTAGAAAAATCTATCTTAGAAGTGAAACCATAAGAACTGAGTCTGCTTTTAGAAATCTTGACAATTTCTATACATTTTCAAGAAATTTGTAGTCAGTCGTGAAACTGAATTCTTGTTCAGATTCAGCTTTACTAGAATGATAAAGCTATATGAATTTCAAAATATGAAGAGTAACTTGTTGAATTATCCAGGAACTATGTAATGTGAAGAATAACTTTGACATCTCAATCTTGTGATGAGAGCTAATTTTTTCCATTTCAAAATGTTACTGTTTTTGCAAAACTTAAATATATCCACAATATATAACTACCATCCTATCTAAAGCTGCTATAGCAAGAAGTGTGTTAGATAAGGAAAGTGCCAAGTGATGGTGTAGCGTTCTGTTTTTTCCTCTTCCTAAAGGTCGCTTTGTCCTGCAGGAGGTTATTTTCTCATTTTCCTGTGTGGCTATAAAGACAATTGCATGCATTATATGTTCATTGATGTAAAGTGACTTGGGGTTTTTTATTTTGATTTGGGGGCCAGATATTGACACTGACTGTTAACACTTCACCACTTTGCAGCTTCACCTCACTAACCTTGCCCCTTCATATAAAGGTCTGCCTTATGGTTTTTGCTGTTATAAGCAATAAATACTTTATTTTTCCTATTAGACCCTTAATTCTGATCTTACTGCACTGTGTGGCATTTGTTTTACGAAGTTAGTGAGTTAACTCCGAAGTCCTACAAGTTTAGGAAATGGATTTTTACTTCCCTTTTCACTCCCTTTTGTTTCAAAAGGCCTTAATTAACAGCCTGGATAGTATTCCTTGCCTTAAACTGCTGGTAGTGTGTATGGGAGTGAGTGTTAAATGGATACTGTGTATCCATTAAATTAAGTGGATTTTATTTAGCTTCTGAGGTCTATTTGTAATTCTGAGGTCTGTCTAAAGGTAAAACCCCTACAAGGTCTGTATTGCAGAATGGCTGAAACTTTAGTTTCTCATTAGCTAAATAATGGTGTAAAAGTTATGTTAACCTGCACCATTTTTTATTTTAGCAGTGGCAAATGAGTTTGAGAGAACTTAATTTTTTGACCACTGACCTTCTCAGTTTTGCAGTTTATGCCAACGGCACACTTAAGAAAAAAACCCCCCACTTTTAGCTGAACATAGCTGTTAGCATATGTAGGAGGAAAGGTCTGCTTAAGATACTGTAAAATGCATTATATTTTCTATACATATTAGCTTTTTGTCATAACTTCAACTATCTCCTTTTTGAAGTTAAGCTTCTTAAGCTTCTTTTTACAAGGAGTCACATGGTGAGGACAAGGGGTAACGGGTACAAGTTACTCCCAGGGAGATTCCGATTGGACACAAGAGGTAAATTTTCCACAATGAGAACAATCAATCATTGGAATAATCTCCCCAGGGAAGTGGTTGACTCCGCTACGCTGAAGATGTTTAAGACTCAGCTGGACATGGTGCTGGGCCATCTCGTCTAGATTGTGCTAGAAAGGTTGGACCAGATGATCCTTGAGGTCCCTTCCAACCTGGTATTCTATGATTCTTCTGATGTTGGCTGTTAACCCCTAAAATGATACTTTACTAGTGATTACTTTTTTAATTAAGCCCATGTATTAGCTATAAAGCCACTTGAGTGCATTGTAAATAAAATGCTGTAATAATGAAGTGCTTTAATTACACTCCCTAAAGTATGCATAGTTCTCAGTATTTTTTTATTTAAATTCTTAACATGTTCCCTTTTTTCTGAAAAGTGGTTTGAATTGCTGTAAAGATGGAGATCCAGCCTTTAAAGTCATTTGAGCAAATTCCATGGCTGTTCTCTAGTTAGTGAGTTTTCACAGCATTTGCAGCAAGCTAATTGCTTCTGCTAATAAATAATCTAAAATCGATGCTGACAGCAGTTAATTGGCACAGAGACTTTATTCTGTAAAGCACTTGGCTAACGACCTTCCTTAAATTAATAGCATTAAGTGCTATGAGGAAATAAATCTAAGGAATTGCCTGTCATTTGCTTGTCATGTCTAATAACTTCCAATAATGATGGCTGATAGATTTTTGCACATTCCATTATTGAAGTTGGTGCATGTAATTATTCTCCTCATTATATGTAAACAATTAGCAATATTTGGTGTTTCCTTGCAATAAAGCTGTTAAATGCAAGTAGCCCATTGGAGTTTAGAAACTATTTTTGAAGGCAAATTTTCATTTCCATTGAATGCAGCAAATCTGCAGGTATCTGAACATGCTACTAGTTCATTGGACCGAGCTTTACCTTTTGGTAACATTAGTAAGTTGCGTGTAGATGGGAGGATATGTGGGGAAGTACTTTGAAGAATTCTGTATTGATGTGTGGAACCTTTTGTTTCCAGCTTGAGGAAGTAATGGAGAAGGAAACGTACAAGACTGCTAAATTAATCCTTGAAAGGTTTGATCCAGAATCAAGTGCAAAGGTGAGAATCTTGGTATTGATACTGATTTAATATGAAAGGTACCATGGAGCCGAACATTCAAATAATGTTATTTATAATTAATTGGCAGGAGGCTGAACTGCCATCTGCTGGAACATCTGCAACCCCAAGACCTGGACAAGGTAATAGCCCTGTAAAACGGCTGCTCTTTAGCATAGATACTTGTCTTTCATAGCAATTTACACTCTAGAAATCTCTCTATGATAAAATTTGTAGATCAATTGACCTTTATTTAGGGTTAATAGACTGTTTATTAGACTATGCCCATTACTGTTCTGTATTTTTCAGACAAGGGATCTATTACTAAAGGCTGATGCTCTTCTAGACAGCAGGATGTTTAATGCTGCTTGATGCTAAAACAGAGAGAAAATTAACTTCTTGTGGCATACTTGCAATTTTTCTAGAATACTAAGGTGCTTTCAAATCTTATGTAATGTTCATTGACTTAGCTTTTCAATTATGTTTCTATTTCTGGCTAGTTAGACCTTTCCTAATGCGGTGCTTAAACTACTTTTATATGTTGGATGGAGAGATTCCACAAAGCTAGTGCAGAAATCAGATATTTTCTAGAGGCAAAGAATGGACAGTTCTTTACTAGTTTATGATGTTCCATTTAAAGGTGCTGTTGAATAAAATAATAAAAGAAATAGAAAAAACTTACATGCATTTCAAGGAAGCCTTGTTTCTAGATTGCGCACACAGGTTTTAAGACTGAAAAGATCTCTCCCCCCACACCATCCCAGTAGAATGTTTGCATGAAAAGTGTGGACTATAAAAACAAACAAACAACAAACTGTGCAAATAAACTAATGTTAAGTTTTTCTTAAAGTTGAGTATAATATGCTGTGGTTAAACTGAAAATGCTAGTATTAACACAGTGTAAAGGGCACCTTATATTATAATACTGAAGATACCTACAAAGATCTGTCTCAAAGCGTGAATACAAAATTGCTGTTATAACCAGCTTAGACCTGTAGGGGATGGCACTCAAAAGAAACTGCAGAATCTGATGTGCATAATTTTCCATACAATAAACATTGCTTTAGAGCATATATTAGAATTGTCAACTTTGTGTCTAATTCTCGTGAGTAACCAAATTTTTATTTGTCTCATTTTTTTTTTTTTGCTCTTGGAGTGCTGGTTTTGATGGGTGCGGAACACCTGGACTTACTAACAAAGGTGTTTATAACCTGCCTGGTCAAATCCACTGTTTTGTTATTCCTGCTTAGCTTCAAATTGTCATGTAAACATTTTTAGCCCATCCTTACTTGTTGACATTGACAGTGAGTAGTTGCAGTGCAGTACGTTAGCAGTAAAGCTGTTATCTCTTCTGGTGTTCTAGGCACAACAGCTTTTTCTCAAGTTTGCTCCTTACTTGTCTTTACCTTCATTCTGTTTCTCCAGCATTTGTTTTTTTAAGGCTGAAGGGCCATTCTGGCACCCTGTTCTATTCTGTCTTAATGCAGCTCATGGGTGGTGGCCAAGAATTTTTTGTCATACCTGTAATGTTTAGGTAGTCTTTTTTTTTTTTTTTTTTTTCTTCCCTTAACACTTCATATTCATCCTTCTCCTTGAGATATGTTGGAAATCACTCCAGAAGTAGGGTGACAGATCTGTTTGTAGAATGCAAGTGATGCTAACCAGGGGATGAAACTGCCTGGAAATGGGTGTTTCTACATAGAGATCTGGAGATAACTAGCTATAAATTAAATAGACAATGAGAGGTCTTTAGTCACCCTGGCTTTATTAAGAGATATCACCAGCATTTTTGAAACTCCTAAGGAGTTACAGGATTGTTCTCTTCCCTTCTGTCCAGGCTGTGTAAGTAGCGATGGTGACAAGTGAGCTGCTCAGTCTGTTAGTTAACTAGTCTTGTGTATGCTTGGTTTTACAAAGCGCAGTGCGTGTGCTTTTGATCTAGGGTTCTGAGTTAGGCAAAAGCAGGTTAGTTGGATCCAGCACGTGGCGTGTTGTGTTGATTTTTGACTTGACTGTTAATAGAAGGGCTATGAAGGAGAGGTTTGGAGAGAGTTAGAGGTATTTCTGAGAGCCAGCCACTACAGGCTGTGGTCTGCATTAATAAGCATGGTATAATAGGGAGTAGGTTTGCAGAGTGAAACGGTTGTTGCTGAGGAATTTGCCCACACTATATATGTTTAAGGGTTTTTATTTAGGGCCAGCTGTAAGCTAGTCTCATGGACCTGACGGAGGGCATCTTTCAGTTTAGTTTCATTTGAGAAGAATGTGAGTGCTGCTCTCAGACTGTGTTGTGGTGTGAACCAGAGACCTCTAAGTGGGGACACAATTGAGAAAATGTCAGGTTCACTTCTGATGCAAACATTATTTGACTTCTTTGGGTGCATCCACATTAAAGTAAGCAATTTACTTTATTCTGAATAAAAGTGTAGTTTAGCCTTGGAAAGGATTTTGGGAAGAAAATTTTGTAAGTTATCATGGTTTATGGTTGGATTTGATGATCTTAAGGGTCTTTCCAACCTAAATGATTGTATGATTCTATGTAATTTTGTTCATATACAGCACAACTTCCTTTTTTTCTTTTTCCAGTCTGTTCTCTAACACATTGAATTTAGAATTAGTGCTGCTTTTTGTCCATGTAAAAGTGGATATTCAGACTATTGTATCTTATAGATGCATTATAGTTCAGGAGGGACATTCTGTGTTTGGCTTTAGCTTGTGAAATTGTGGATACTTATTTTCTAAATAACTTGTTCTTGGTATGTGCAGTAATTATTTCAATTTTTAGCTATCAGAAAACTACTAGCTTATTGCTGTTCATGCTAAATAATATCTGCCCAAAACAAATATTAGCTTCTGTTCTGTGCAGTATATAACTTACTGTAACTAGATGACACCTTAATGTGGTTGTGCTGTAATTTGGTGTATGCAATATGTGGTAGAATTATAGTGATTGGGAATAATAAAATTATCTGTTAACAAGTTAACATTAAAGCTTCCTTGATCTTCTCTTTTCTCACTTTGGACACAGACTAGCCAGGCAGCAGAACTCATTATCTTGAGCTATGTAATTGAGTCTTTTTGAAAAGAGGGTAGGTAATGACAAATGTGTAATCAGATTGGACAATGTTGGGTATGAGGCAGCTAATGAAAGGTTGGTTAGTTGGCATGTTTTTGACTTACCAGTTGAAATGGAAGCTTATGCATCATACTAATTAGTACAAAGATTTAAGCAGCATTATATAATAGTTGGTTCTCAGAAAAACAACTGGTAATGCCCCAATTTTCATGTGCATTTAGCTCTTTTTGCAGTTTTTGTGATTTTGACGCACGCTTCTTAAATAATTGTACTTTTAACAGATCATTCGGATGAATCTTGAGTTTAACATAAAGCACCTGGAAATCCAGCAGGAAAGGCATTTGAAAACTTAAGTGCAATTTTATCTCTTCAGAAATGTTTTGAGGGGTAACGTTAATGAGCATATAGTTATTCAGTACTTTGGCTATATGAAAAAAATAGGGTAAGTATATATTGGCAGTGGAATAAATATTTATCAACAATATCCTGTTGATACCTGTTCCCTTTGTGCTAATACAACTGTTAGCAGTGCTGTATTGTAGATGAGAGCACTCCATGACTTGAATTAAAAATGATGCAATAACAGATGGTTGCAAGCCATGGGATGACTACAGGCACGAGGAGGAAGAAAGAAAATTCTTGGTTGGTCTTTACCACTAAAGCCAACAAGTTATGTGAACTATATATTGACCTGCATTGTGCTTCAGCTCTTTAAAAGTGATGTATTTTTCTCTACAAAAATAAAGGAGTTTTGAAGTGAGGGAGAAATAAAATAGTTATGCTTGTAAACATGAAAGATACAGCTGTCTCACCGCTGGTAATATCTTAATATTCTTCAAAAGATCATACTGAATCATCAGTTGTGAGTAGTAGCCCTGTTAAGTAATGTGTCTGCTTATGTATCTGTATTGTTCAGTGCGGGTAACTGCAGAATTTGGACTCCAGTGTGCTTGAAGAATAAAAGTTCTATTTTTAAGTTATTTATCCGTCTTCATACAGTTGGTTTGCAGTGCACAAAAATCATTCAGAGAAGAGAAAACCTTGTAAAATTGCGAAACTTCATTAAAACCACATCAGCAGTAGCTGTATATTGTGTTAGCATTGAGACCCGACGCATATGTTACTCAGCTAACCTGTGGAACTTGAGTTATGGAAATCTGGAACTTTGCAAAAGGCTTGTTAGTAACACATTGTATCTCAGCACAAGGCAATTTGAGAAGTATATAGATCATATCCAGTTACTGCAGAAGAATATTAGGGCTGTTATTGTGGAAGTGGACAGCAGGTTTAAAAGGAATTAGAGGAGTTCATGGGCAACAGGGTCTATATGTGATACTAACATGATTAGACAGGGCTGTACTATCTAACATCCCTGACAATGCGTTTGTGGATCCTGGGGGTGGTATCAGAGATGTAGGCAACAGAAATCATTCAGGTTTGTGTGTTGTCATTAAATAACATCTACAACCACTCTGAGATGAAATACTGCTATGGATGGGCTATTGGTCTTGCCAAGGAGCGCATTTCTGCTGTTCTCATGATGTAAGTTCTTCTGGTAACTTCTTTTACTTGGGGAGCAGCAGTGTTGGCAAGTTCTCTTAAGTATGAAATAAGAATAGCGTGAAAGCCAAATGAACTTTTAAGTGGAGGGGATTAAAAAAACCCTTGTGAATAACCTGATATCATTTTGTGGAAACTAGCAATGAGTCTCGCATTCTTACCTCTGTAATGAGGCTAAAACTACTGAAGCACATCTCTCTAATACTGACTGTAAAGTACTTGGGTTCAACATCTTTGTAGGAACAAAAATATGGGGAGTCATTAAAGTAGCAGTAACTTTTTAAAAATTGAAAGTCTTTTTAAAGGAGGCTTGCCAAAAATGACCCTTCAGAAAGAACAGGCAAAAGGGGTAAAGCTCTTGCAGGTGGCATGGAAATTGCTTAGGAATAGTGTATTATGGGCTCAGAATAAATGTGGGTATATCCATGACTTATGAAGCAGACTCAGAGCTGTTAAGCAACCAAAATTGACATGCTTAAACCACATGATATAGGAAGACAGCCTTCAATATGTAGAAGTAACATCCATATGTAGAAATTATAGTCATGATCTTTGACAATTTTATATGTAAAACCATAATAAAGCAGGCTTTGTAATGAAAAAGAATGAAGAAAATCTTAGCAGTGGATTAAAATGTCTTTTTATAGATATTTAAATAATCTTGGAACAGGTAGAGTTAGGCTTCGTATTTATCACTCATTTTTAAAGATCTGTGGAGCTGAGAAGAGTTGAGAAATTGCATATGTTTAGCTTGATTTTTGAAACCAGTACATGAGTGGAAACTATAACACAAACTTGAACGCATGGACAAATAAATCATGGGGCAGAATCAATATATTTGTAGATGAGTCATGCCTGTTGGTCAGATGGCATGGAGAGGATGATGCAATTATTCTAGTGTAGACTTGAAAGGTTACTACTAAGGTCTCTCACAGAAAGCTCTCAAAGAAATGTCAGTGGTGAGGTTCATCATAAGTGAATTCTTGATTAAAATAAAACTTTCAATACAGGAGCAGTTTTCAAAATTAAAACAAGTCACCAAGGAAACCTTAAAGGAATTTCTGCAACTGCCTCACCAGTTTATCCTGGTTTCCAGATTCTGAACAGTTTAAATAGTGAGGGGACAAACTTTACTTGCTAAAACCAAGTTAAAATACAGAATCTTCATACTCATTGGGTGATCTAACTTGGACAATAAAGTTGTGTGACATAATGCAGTCATGCACATGAAGGTGTGGCAGGGGAAAACTAGTAATTCATCCTGCTCAGTAGGAAACTGAACTAGGTGGGTTTTTAGTAAGACTTTGTGCAGTTTTAGTCTTCTAACTGATGATATCAAAGAGTTTTTTTTATTTTTTTCTTCTAGTGTACATTAATCCTGTGTATATGTGCAGATGTAGGCAAGAATGTAGCCTATGTATGTTGCAATTTCGTGGCACTAGATGTTGGCGATTTTCCAAAAGAACTTTTACGTTTGACCTAGTACTTCAGTGATAGCAACTCACTCTTAGCTAGCGCAAGCTGATGTTGCCCGCTCTCTTGTCTCCTCCAGCCCATATGGAAACTTCGTGTGGTAGCGTTGTACTTGTGGGGACAGGGGTCGTGCCTTCAGACTTCAGCACACCCATCTCCCTGTGGCTGGTTGCCAGTGGACCTGTAAACTGCCTGCTAAGGATTTAAACTCTTCAACCTGACACAAAGTCAGCAGATAAGCTCTCTCTAATCTTGAAACTCAGGGAGATGAATTTAAAATCCAATTCTAATGTTAAATTCTATTTATTGTGAAGGAAGACAAGCAAGCTTGTTCAAACTAATGTGGGTGCTAGACACTAACTCTGTAGGGTACTATAGTCTTAGGTGTAGGCATTCTTGGGGTATACCTTTTAGAGACTAAGCTGTCGCTTGTTCACAATGTTAATGTCTGCAGCCCTACAGTGAGGGTTACATTTCAATTTGACTGTTGCAATAGTGTATTTCAAAGGCTCCCTAGAGGTGATTAGGTGTAGATGGGATGAGAAAATGATGATAATGACTGCTGTTAATGAGTACTGCTCCTGGCTTGTTTTGGGGAACAAACTCATGTATAAATATAATGGAACTTCAGGTTTGCATGAATAATATAATATCCAAACCCTAATATATTACCTGGATGATATTCCCACTGGTGTTAATGAGAACTCTGGCTTCAGGTAAGAACAACAGAGGAAACCTTTTAAGTTTTTTGTAATAGCAACTTAATAGTAACTCTGATAGTGGAGTGAGAAGAGGTAAAAGTAAGGAGATGTTCCAGCAGAGCCCGTTCTTGCTTTGTGACGATCCAAGAATGTGACTTGTTGGTAGGGTTGCTGAGAAAAGTGAACAAAACTCTGTGATCTGAATGAAGCATTAAGTTTTCTTCTGGCTTTAGAATTGTTTTTAGTAATTCTGGGCACTTAGCCTGGATATTTTAGACATTGACTGAACAGTTTTTGGTCCCATGGAAATCTGAATACTTGGAAGTGTGTTTAAACCATAGAGTAAAAACAGTGGTCAGTTCTGTTTGTATGTTGTGGTTTGAATCTAGCTATTCATATCTCCAGCATTCTGCCTTAAAGAACAGAATCATAAGGTAGGTAACTGCTAATTTTCTTCTAGAAGAATTTTGCCCTGAGTATTTAACAGTTAATGATTATTGCTATTAAAATATAGTATTCTGTGTGGTGTTTATTTCTATGGCATGCTCAGCCAGGCAGCTGATGATCTTTCTGGTTTTGTTTGACTCTAATTTGCTGATTGGAATAGCAATATTAACGTGCTTTTACTAATCTCTTGCTTATAATGCTAGATGTTAAATTCAGTATGCATATGTTCTTGTCAGAAATTCGTCAGAGGACTGCAGCTCAAAGAAGTGCTTCTGTGCCCCTGCCTGTGACTCCTAAACAAGGCTCTCCAAAATCACTGGTTCCAGCATCTCCTAATCAGCAGAGAGACACATCAGCTGTGAGCGGACCCTCAGAGAGAACTGTTGTGCCATCCTTGCAGTCAAATGTTTTACCAAGACGCCCTGGATCCCCTGCTACTTCAGTGCCTGGAATGGGTAAACAGAGCACTTAATGTTATTTACAGTTTATATTGTTTTCTCTGGTTACCAATAAAATAGGCCATTTTCAGACAGTATGGAAATGGCATTTCATTTGGAAATAGCAGAGCAGTTATCTGATTAAGCAGGAGTTCCATATTCAATTAGCCATAACTCTTTACAGCTGGCACCTTTTGATGCTGAAACCTATTGCCTGAGCTCATTTAACTGTTATGGCTTCTTTGTTTAAATGGCAATAAAACTTTGCAGTATTCTGTAGTCAACAATATAGCATACCTTTTTATGTTCTTAGTTTAGAAGAGCCCCACACTTATATAAATCAGGTACAGAGGAGAACACTTTCAGAATGCATTCATGTTTCTCACTAAACCCTGCACATATTTTTTAACATGCATCTTGACGTTTATTTACATTTTTACTCTAGGAGGTATAGTCATGCAATCTATACTCATAGATTAAAGTGTAAAATACCGAATACACCAGAAAAGTTGTCTGTTGTAGCTGAATTCTTCTAAAATTGCATTGTTATTTCTGGTACAAGAGTCAGAAGTTTAGCAACAGGGTGAAATCTGGTAGAAATGAGTGCTGCTTAAAATTTTGTTTCATATCCTGAAAATGCTCTTCCCTCTTTCTGGCGAGGTGTTCAGCTGGGATGGACTTTATTAAATAGAACATGAACTAAATTCCATAGGAGAGAGAGCAAAATTTGAGGGTTTAGGGGGGAGGCGTTGTTCTCATTCTCCTCATGGATGGTAAAGCTGTGTATGGGTTAGTGCCAGGCCTTTCATTTGTTGCAGGATGTCTGGCAAGTTGGATCACAAGGCAAGAAAGGAGATGAAATGCTGTCTTGAAAACAGAAGGGATGCAACTTGCCAAGAATCTTTTGAGCACCACTGTAATGTGGAGTAGTTCTTTGCTCTTTACACAGGGATCAAGAATATTTTTCTCTGCCCTGTGTTCCTGATTTTTAACTTGAAGTTATTTAAGTCCTACAAACTATGTCCTTGCTTACTAACTTCCATGACACAATCTAAAAGTAGGACTATACATAATATATTGACAGCCGGTCTCTTAATGGAAGATGTTGGGCAGCTGAATGTTAAAATGCCTGTTCATATTTTTTCATGTAGTGGAATAAACTTGCCATGAAGAGTTGTGATCTCTCGCTTCTCTGCAGAGTCCATTAAGCCTTATTTTTTGTTAGTAATTGTCTACCTGTATTATGAAACTGCTAAATTTGTTTTTATCCCTGAAGTGAACTGTAAAGGCAAGTTATTAGTAAGTCTTGATTATTTTGAAGTCCCAGAAATCAGCTCCTTGCACCAGGAAATTGGTCATTTGGTTACAAACCACGTTTACTGAAACCTGCTTACTGAAAATTCCTTAATGAGTTTAAAATTGCATTCTCTTGTTTAAAAAGCCAGCTATATAATAAAATAATATCAGCTATATAATAGTTTTATTCTTAGGGGAAGATTCAGGCACATTGAATAAGCTGGATGAAATTCAGCCTTTACTGCAGAAATGGTTTAGAGGAAGAAGGAAAAAAAACTAATGGACTTGTTTGACAGGACAGTTGCCAAGCCTGTTAATTAAAATATTTAATGTAGTTTTTGTGATAATGCTTTATAGGCACATAATTTTTTTGACTTATAACTGATATTTTGACCAAGTATGTCATAGATAGCAATGGAAGCCACTGCAATTGTCAGTTAATGTGGAAGTCCTGTTTTCTCTTGAATTTCCCTAAACCTTCCAGGCATATAAAATCTCAGTTATGTAGCTGTAGTGAAAAGTATGTAAATTCAGTATCTATAAGAGTAATATCATTGCATCTAAGTTTATGCATGGCTTGCAACAAATATGAATAGCCTTAATTATCTCTACTTTAGAGAAGATTAATAATTCATTTTCATTATACTATATTTTGTAGAGGAGAATCAATTTAATGTGTATTACCACAGAGCTCCCATATGTTTGAAAATTAATAACCAGCAGGTAGTTGAGAGTTTGCCAAGCTTTGCAGAAATGACCAGTCTTTCTACAATGATTGCGTTTGATGTTTATATTAATTACTCGTGTCCGTAACAGCATGAGAACTAAGATGGTTGGTTTGAGTTATTAGTAGGTAGGAAATTGGAAGTTCTTTGAGTGTGTTGTGATGTTTCATTCTAGGTAACTTTATTTAATTTTTAGCTTGTTTATTAACTTCCGGAAACTTTTCATGTATTGGTGATATACAGGTCATATGAAAATTTGGTCTTTTGAATGTGGGGTTAAATACACATTTGAATGTTAGCCAGGTATTCACAAAATTATACTAGAATTTTAATTTTGCTGCAGATTATATCAGTGCTCCAGATCTTTACTTCACACCTATGTCAGATGTTGTCCATTCACTTTTTTTAATGGAAGTATTGGGTCTTTCAGGTTTTTGTGAAGCTTTAGGAAATGCATTGTGCCTGAACTCTTCTCTGGACAGCTTTTTTTCAGAATCTATAAAATGAAGCATTAGGTCCAGTTTATATTGCCCTGAATTTGTTCTGCCTTGCTGCTGTGAAGGTTTTCTTAGTCTGGGTTCCTGCTTGTTGACGGAATACAGGGATAACTTGAGAATGCGTTCACTGATTGATATCTCCTGAATTCACTTCTCCTGTTTGTGAAAGTGAGGGTTATTTTAAAAACACGTGTTGAGCATGAAACTTTTTTGTGCTTATTGAAGGGTTGTAAATTGCAGTGTTTTCTGATGAAATTTTATTGTGCTTGTAAAGGACAGTCCATTTAGGTCGGTATTGACGAGAGGTGTTTTGAAAGGCTGTGCTGTTAGAAATACTGCAACCTTAATGACAAGATTAGTCTCATTCTACGTGTAGCACTTCGAGAAGGCACTGCTGAAATTGTTTGATTCCTACAATGTTTCTGACGTTTGCCATGGAGGTTAGCTGTACGTGGCATTTAGCTTGAGGTTTACCAGAATGTAGCAAATTCTGCCATAAGTTACTCTTTTTCCTTTGCTGCTCCCATCTGTGAAGGTTAAAAGGTAGGAGGCTTGAGATAGTAATTGCTGGCAGTTACATTTAATGCTGTATTTAAACTTAAAGCCCATTTTGGATCAGCTTATCAAATAGTAAGACTTGCTGTGTTGTCTTTGTGTGTACTCTACTTAAGAGGTACATGTTACTTCTGTGTGTATATTTATGAAAGAGTATCAGCTGTGTTGGAAAACATGACTGTGCGTGTCCTGGTGCTGTCCCCAGCTAAGGTGCTAGAAGAAAGCTAAGTCTGTCTTATGAGAAGCTTGAAGTCCACTGTTTTTTCCATGGTATCTTTCAATTAAATGTCCTTCTGAACTAGTTCAACTTGCTAACAAACTCTGCCCTCTTGGTAGTCCTCTATTTGGATTTTTTAAAAATCCTTTTTGCATCTTCAGACAGTGGGTTTAGTTTGTTTTACCCTTTAGCTTCCTCTTTGTTTTTTGGGCATTATGGGGGATTCTGTGAAACATATCTTCGTAAGAAAAATACTGGAAGCATACAGCAAATTGAAAAGAGAATTGAAGGCTGAATCTGTGGTCACTAAAAGCCTTTCTTTTAAGCCACGTCTCTTGCATATCTGTTTTTACTGGATACAGTGAGAATAGCTACAAGCCAGAACTCTTCCCTGAGAAAACACTGGTCGCTTTTTGTGCCTTGAGAATTTTACTTCTACGAATTAAATATACTTAGTTCTTGCATGGCTTCAGATTACTGTATGCTCATCTCAGTATGAAACCTGCTAATATTAGTTGAATTTCTTCTGTCTAACCTTCTTAACTATTTTGAGCTTGAATAGGACTCTTGCGTTATTACATGTAATTTTGTTGTTGGGTTAAATTGAGTCTTATCTGCCAGGTTTCATGATTTTGTCTTCAGGTGGCTTGAAGCTGACCATTTTGTCACAGTTTGAGTTCTGAAAGGGCTGGTTCATTGTCCTGCTCAAACATCGTTTTTTGCGGCCTTTGAACTCAATAAAGGTCTTGTGGAAATACATTTTAAGTCTTCCCTCCCACCCCTCCAAGTGCTTGCTTAATTATCTTGCATTCAAGACTGTCTGGTATCTGTTTGTTGAAAGTACTGTCACTTAATACCTCCTGTGCTTGTGTAAAATGTCTCTTGGCCAGGCACGTGGCCTTAGGAAGAAGTTTCAGATACTTAGCTATTTGAATGGTCACGTTGGAATGATTCAGACTTAGTTTCTTACCAAATTGTGTTTTGCTCATTATGCCTAGCATCTTCTGTTTTATGTCTACCTTCCTTTCCAGCCTTAAGAACCCAAAGCTACATAAATGGGAATTGGCAGCTTGCAGTGGTCTTGTACAATAGACCAGATGTTTTAAAACTTTGTGGAAAGGCAAGTTTGTGCCACTGGTCTACTTTAACTGCCCTATGTAAACAGAGGTGAAAAAGGCGGTACCTACTATTGCTGTTACCTGTTCTTAGTGGAGTTTTATTTTGATAGTAGTTTGTTAAACACATGGGATATGAAAAATGATATCTTAATAGTGGCCTTCTGGGTTCTTTGACTAAGCATAAATCTGAAAGTATCCAACTTTCCATTAAACATGGGATTACCAAAATGCCAAATGTCTAGACAGGTTTAATGTGTAGACTGAATGCACACTGAAGGCATGCTCATATGGTATAGTAATTACACAGAAACCAGTGGGTGCTTCTTTATTAACATCTTTAATTCTTCTACTGTTGTAATTGATTTTACCAGATTTATTGGTGTAAACTTGAAGTGTTAAATATGCAAAATTGAGAGTATATAAAGAAAACTCAAATAAGGAGGTGGTTCTTTGCTTAAAAAGCCTCTATTTGTGAGTAATCATTAAATACTATTGGTGCCTTAAGTTCTTTAGAAATTATAAATTTAATTACATATCCAAAGTATAAAAATAGAGTGTTTAATAAGATTAGAAGCTAAAGGAGCAGAAGAGGAACTTTTAACTTTTGTGGCTTTAAAAATCTTACAGCTTTCCTACTGGACTAAGAAATATGGCCGTGTATATTAAGTAGGTGCAATTATTTTATTACACTAGCATGCACAGTGAAATATGAGATGATGATAATAATAATAATATAATTGAAAAGAATTTTGACGTAGTTTTGTGTCTTCCTAGGTCTTCATCCTCCAGGCCCTCCTTTAGCAAGACCTATTCTTCCTCGAGAAAGAGGAGTTGTGGATAGAGTTATTGAATATTTGGTTGGTGATGGTCCTCAGAACAGGTAAAATGATGCTAAAGGAAATACATAAACACTTAAAAGGTTAAGAAGCTTCTGATCTCTTAAGTCAGACATGTCATGGTTAGAAGAATTGCAAATTAATTTGTCTGAAATTTTCATAAAGAAATGGCCCTTTCTCAGTGCTTCACCTGATATCTCTTTGTAGGAAAAACAGTAGCATTTTGACAAAAGTAACCGCTGCTTTGGGTGGTATTAGCCATGTGATACAAAGAGAAAAATCTATGCGCAAGTAGGTGAATGAATTATATTTTGAACTAGAAAAAAAAAATTTATTATCTTAGCACTTCAGCTTTATTACCATTATAAATGCTTTCAGACTGTCTTCAGAACTTTCCAAACATATCAGAACTTGTGTTAACCATGGTCACTTTTCATCTTGACTGTATTCTAATGAAATATAGACTTAATTTTGATGTTATTTTCTGACGATGATATTAAAAATATGTTGAACCATGAGGTTTAAATTGTAGCTAAGAATATTTCACTGTTTTTAAACCAACTTTAAAAACTATTATTTAATATAGAGATTTAGTTTGCTTTAAAGGATAATTATTTCACTGTGGAAATTACCTTTTAAGAGTAAATATCTAAGCTATTACTCAATATCTAAGGTAAAATGCATCTCGCTTCAGTGTGTCATTACTTAAAGGTATGTAATTATGTATTATTCATGTTTTCTAGGTACGCCCTTATATGTCAGCAATGTTTTTCTCACAATGGTATGGCTTTGAAGGAGGAGTTTGAATACATAGGTAAGAGCTAATCTGTGGTAGACTTGCTAGTAGTTGGCTTATGTTTCATAACTAACATGCATCATACTTAATTTTGGTTGCAGTTAAATACTGAACTGACACTGTGAAATGCCACTTCATACAGGAACAGTTTTATGGTAACTTATTACTCTGTACCTTAAGATTCACTTCAAGACTTAGAGAAGTACTTTATTGCAACCTTCAGGCCAAGGATTTTATGTGTAGAAAACTATTTAGTAGAAATAAGCCTTCTCCAATACATCCCTGAGAATTGCTACTGGCTATGAATGGTTCTCAGAAGGGTTTTATATTGAGAAACTATCTGACATTAAAGTGTGCCTCTTTTACCAGAACTTAAACAAAATTTTGCTTTGGCAAGAAGATCTTGGGGAGGTATCGGAAAAGGAGTGGGAACAAGCCCTAGGGGGCTATATGTGAATTTATGGCTGACAATAACTTAAGACAGACACAGCTCTTTATTGAACACAGATGTTTTATTTTGCCTCCTTTCTACCACAAGTGTGAGCCTGATGCTTAAGAAATGGGGGAATCTTAGCTAAATCTTGTATTTAATTTTGTTTTGCTTAATTTTATGAGTAAATATACAGCATTGTAAGAATAAGCTGAATGTTTTCTATGGAACCAAAGATATGTAGTTGATATGTCATTTTAGGTCAAGTGAGTTCACAATTCAACTGTGCAAGAAATTGCCATTTCCCAAGCGCCTTGTCTTGGGGGGTGAAATATGCATTTAACTATTAAGTGGTACCCAGGACTTCTCCAGAACAAAACTACCTTTTCTTAATTAAGCACCACTGGAGCAGAATGCTCCTCAAAAAGCAGAGTGAGACATACCTTGCAGAATCCATAGCATCCCCTTACTCAAAGGGTGAGAAAAGTGGCATCATAAGGGGGGAAAAAATAATCTACCAACTTAATTCTTTTGTAGGAAAGAACAGAGGAACACCATGTGGCAACATCTTGTGGTACTGAATTGTATTATTTTGTTCATTGTGGTCAAATCTTTCACAGTGGTGGGCAGCACTTGTAAGTGCAGCAGAGCTGAAAGCAAACAGGTTTTTAAGAAGCAAATGTATGCTGAAGTTAAAAATGGAGCTATATGGAGCAGCTTGTGTAAATTTGATGGAGGTACTCTCAGGTACTGATAGTCACTTACTTAATTTTCTGTTTTTAGTATTTTGGACAGACAGAATGTAGTGTAGGAATAAAGGTGAAATGTGAAATTAATTAGTAAGGCTACTTATTGAGTATGCTTTTGTGTAGCATTTAGGTGCGCCTACTGCTTTTTCCTGAATCCTGCAAGAAAAACTAGACCTCAGGCTCCACGGCTTCCAGACTTCAGTTTTGAAAAAAAGCAATCTACAGAATTGCGATCTGAAACTGAGCCTCTAGAACCTAGAGAGAGAAAGCCCCAGGAGACTCAACAGACAGAAGGTATGTGCTAATCTCAAGAAGTCTGCTCTTTTAATAATGTCTAGTAAAATCCCACCCTGTCATCTAGGTCTCTGTCTAGATGAGTTTTTGATAAAAACTGAAGAACTCAAACACTGCAACAGGCTTCCTAGTGAGGTGCTCGATGCCCCAAGCCTGTCGGTGTTTGAGGCATTTGGACAATGCCCTTAATAACATGCTTTAACTCTTGGTCAGCCCTGAATTGGTCAGGCAGTTGGACTAGATGATCACTGTTGGTCCCTTCCAACTGAAATAGCCTATTCTATTCTAACATCATAGTGGGTGCAGTTTATATTTTTTTTCAGTTCTTCTTGTCCCTGCTTCTAGCTTAGCTTGTTGATACTATTGTCTTCTGTCCTGTAGCTTAAAATTTCTTAATATTAAGCAATATGTCTCATGCAAATCATGGCATAACAAAATTTTTCACTCTAATGTTACTGATAAACCGATAGAAAATAGCACTGTACATTACAGAAATAGAAGGGAATATGTCCAGAAGTGGTTAACTTTCACTGTGTTCAGCAG